TTTTTGTTGTGTTCCGGTCAATGGAAAATGGGGGAGGAGGCAACTCGAAAATGATAAGCGGAGGATTTTGACTTCCAGATTAAAATCCGAAAGTCATTTCCCGCGTCCACTCTCACGCTCTTCTCGATAGTCTTTGTTAGAAAATTAAAAAATTTACTTGTCACAATCACAAACTTGAATGTTTGATTGAGTTGACTCCTTGACATAGTTCTGGAGACTTGATGATTAAGATGTTATGATTTCGAAATTCAATGTCACTTAATTTTCTAATAAAAAAATTAAAGTTTCATGTGCAAGGCTCGAAGAGACTATGCCTGCACGTGAGGATGTGTGTTAAATATAAAAAAAAATCATAAGCCAAAACCACAAGCTTAGCTTTTGATTGAGTTGGTTCTTGACAGTCTTTGCCTTGTCAATCGTGGCACTCCACGCCGTTGTCAAACGCTCCAATCTCCGTGACAGCCCCCGATCTTTTTTAGTATTGTCTCCCTCCATCCTTCATCTAGGGCAACCCCCCCACAAAGTTACTTCGGGGTACCCTCGATTTTTTGGTAATGACTCCCAGATCTCACATTATCTGAAATATGCTCCGGGGTACTGTCGATTTTCTAGGAATAACTCTCAGGTCCCATATTATTTGAAATATACTACTAGGGTCCTTAAAATTAGTAGTAATGTACTCCTTGGGTACATTTCATCTATATGACCGTTAAGATTAAAGTGTTGGTACTTTGATAAATATTAAATTTTACTTTCATAATTATTATTTTATTAAATTGAAATAAAATTCTTCAGTCTCTCAAAGTAAAAAAACTTTCAATCCTAATGCCTAAATGGACGTAATATACGCTCAAAGTATAATATCACAAATTTTAAGGATTCTTGGGTATATTTTTAATAATGTGAGATCTGAGAGTTCTTGCCAGAAAATTGAGTATATCCTAAAGTATATTTCAGATAATGTGGGACCTAAGAGCCATTACCAAAAAATCGAGTGTACCTTTGGGTATTTTTCTGCAACCCCATCCCATCCCACCCCACCCCAAGAAAGAAAGAAAACACTATGTGTATTGTAGCAGCTCACAATCTCCTTGTCCTATGGGGTTTTTGTTTTGGCTTCTAAATTTTCCAGATCAGTGTGGCATGTATCCACAAAAATTAACAAACAAAAATGCTTAAAATAGTATTCAAAATAAGCAAGTATCTCAAAATCCATTTTAGAGCATTCCAATGAGTCATACCAGGATTAGACATGTATCTACTCAAACAACTAACTGCATAAGCAATATCAAGCCTAGTGCTAATAATAAGATACATCACATAACCAATAGCATTCGAATAAGGCACACTTTTCATTTCATTAATTTCAGCTTTAGTTTTAGGGCACATATCCTTACTCAACACAAAGTGAGCAGCTAAAGGAACATCCACAAGTTTAGCATTAGACATAGCAAATTTACTCAAAATCTTATAAATGTAGGAATTTGGATTTAAAACAAGAGTAGATTTCTTACTGCCCCTAACAATGTTCATGCCAAGTATTTTTCTAGCATCTCCTAAATCTTTCATGTCAAAATTTTTACAAACATAATTTTGAACATGCTCAATAGACTTTAAGCTAGGACTAATGATTATCATATCATCCACATAGAGGAGAAGAAAATACAAGAAGAGAGAAAGTGTTTTTAAAATACAAGCAAGTGTTTTTAAAATACAAGCAATGATCAACATTACTTCTCTTAAAACCAAAGTTTTTCATGCAATTATCAAATTTAATGTTCCATTGCCTATGAGATTGTTTTAAACCATACAAAGCCTTTTTCAGCAAACACACATGATTAGGCAACTTAAGATCAACAAATCCTTCAAGTTGGTGCATATAAATATCTTTGTCAAGATCACCATGCAAGAAAACAGTAGTATCATCCATTTGTTTTAATTCCCAATTATACTGAGCAACTAAAGACAACATGAATCTAATTGTGGTGAACTTGACAACATGAGAAAAAAATTTCTACATAATCAATTCCCTCCTTTTGAGTAAATCCCTTGGCCACAAGTCTAGCCTTAAATCTAACATTTTCAGGTTCTTGCTTACGTTTAAACAGCCACTTACAGTCCACAAGAAAATAATTATCAGGTTTTGGCACAAGTTTTCACGTTTGGTTAACACGAAGGGCTTCTATATCACATTTCATAGCACTAACCCATTTTTCAGAACATTTAGATTCTAATGTTTCATGATAAGTTTTAGGTTCATTACACTTAAGGGATTCAAACACATGAAAAGCAAGTTAAGTTGTTGAATTGCATATTTGATTTCATAACGTTGGTATATCAAATTTTGTTTTTATTAAAATTAATTTAGCTCCATAAGGTTAGTTAAATGAGTTTTGAATCACAGTATTTGTTTATTGTGATGCATGTTTGTGAATTTTTAAGGCAAACTCCCATATCTTCTTTTACAAGTTATACTCGATATTTTTTTCTTCAAAATAAGCTCTTGGAGTCAAAGAGGTAATGACATGGTGAAGCTGTGAAGGTGGATGGCTGGAGGCAAGTCATTATGGAGATAGATTGCAAAGAGGTTGCAGACTCACTTTCAGGATCTCTTCAAAGCTGTACTTATTTTAATTTTATTGTTAATGATTGTTAGCGTCTCCAATCACTTTGTGTTGGGGATCTTAATTTTAGATTTGTTTATCGCTCAGCGAATGAGGCAGCACATATGTTTTATTCTTCTTGTAGTCTTTGTAGAAGGATTACAAGGATTACAAGAAGTTAGAAATCTCCTTATCCTACTATTGGGCTGGATCTCCTTATCCTACAAGAAGAAATCTCCTACAAGAAGTTAGAGATTTCCTACAAGGATTACAAGAAGGATTGAAACGATCATTATACTCATCCCTTGTTTTAAAACTATTCATTTACACAAACAATAACAAACAATAACAGTCTGCAATTTCGAAGCACACACACTAAGTATTTTTATATAGTCTTCTCATTTGGAGTAAATTTGGGGCCAACTCTAACATTAATTAGGGCTCACATATCTAAAGCAAAAAAAATTCACATAAAGGTTGGAGACAATGATGATTTTAGATAATAACCATGTACCTTAGCTCAAAGAAGAATGGAGGAGATATAAAAGGTAATAATGGAAGAAGAAATCTACGCATGGAAACAAATTAAACACTAAAGAACTAATATGAAAAATAGGCATACATAATGAATTTGTAATTACAACGGTAGAGATGGAGATCGAATAAGAATAAGACGTTGGATGGTAAACAAAGAAAGCCTTAATTTTTTTGTATATTGATATATATACTTATTAATATAAAAATATCACTAATATGTATTTTAAAAATACAATCCTAAATCACTAAATCTAATAGACATTGGAGATGTGATCAACCTATATACTCTCAAGAATGATAAGAGAACTTCACGAATACTTGGTTAGCTACGGTATTAAAGTACAGAGTATGTATTTATAAATTTATAAGACTATGAGTTTGACATTTTAGTAACCTTATTACTATAATGTTAATTATTAATAAAAAACTAATTGATAGACTTTACCTTTTTAGCACACAATAATGACTTTTTTTCTCTGTGTCAAATAGGCCACTGGGTTAAATGTGTCAATTAGTTTGGATATGATATCTCTATAAGTTTGTCAAGCTCGATAGAGAGATAATCGAGGAGGAAGATAATGAGTATGGATTAGAAAAAGAAATCTAATAAAGTTTCTAATTTTGGGAAAAAAGAAATGAAAAAAGATGTATAATAGGCATATAAATAAGGTGTAATAGGCTACGTGTTTATAGCAGAACCGTTTCATTTAAATATCTTGTAGGAAAATGTTCATTTGGTAGTATTAGTGCACATTCTCAAAAAAATATACTATACCCTTTGTGTGTATTCGTTAACTTTTACAATTAATTTAGACAAATTTTGGTAGTCAATTAAATAAAAATTATACTCCGTACAAAAATTATTTTATTAGATTTATTTTATAAGAGTGTTTAAAAATCATTTTATTTTATTACTCGTAATATATAATGTAGAAATAATTTAATTGAAAATTCATTTTATCTAATTGTAAAAGTTGAACAAGCCCAACACTCTCAACATTCTTTATTTTATTTTTTCTATTTAGTACGTATTTTTTTAAATTAAAATTTAGTTAGATCAAACTTAATTTGATCGATAAATAACAATTCTAAATTATACAGTACCACAATTGTACCATATCTTAAAGGACTCACGAGAAGAGAAGAAAGAATATTTTGTGGTAGAATAGCTAAGAAGTTTAATTTAAACATGAAACGAGCTCGCCCTTACACTTAAATATTGAGATTAGTTTGAACATGATGGTAATGAGAGCTACTTAAAAAATGAGCAATGTAACCTATTTGTACACTATCAATTAGAAAATGAGTAATGCTATCTGTCATTTCTCACCATATATTTTTTATCTATTAGTAGTGGGATTCAACTGAGTTGTTGTTGTTATATTTTTTTATCTATTCAGTAATTTTTTTTATCAACATTTGAAGGGAAGTGTTAGAGAAACTCTATTTGAGTATACGAAGAATACATCGATAAAAAATAGACACAGAGAGACACTCAATTTGTGCATCTTTTAGTGAGTTTATTGAGTGGGTTCAAACATTTTACTCCCTCCGTCCTAAAACTTTCTTCTCAGTTTGACTTTTCTCCATTTTTAATTTTTGGCTTTGACTTCAAATATTACCCTCTTTAAAAAAGATTTTTTAAATTTTTTTTGCAATCATTCAAATTATAGAGTTTGAAGATAATTGGTGTAAATACATGATATTAATGTCATTTGTCATCTTCTTTTTTCTAATGGAGAGATAGTTTTAAGACGAAGAAAAAGGGGAAATGGGAAAAAAGTTTAAGGAGGACATAGTAATTTTGCTCTCTGTTAGCATTCACGATAGAAGACGTCAGCGGAACACTTTCGTAGACTACTACTCCTACAGAGAGAAAACCCAAACAAGCTGACCAGTCGATCACTCCACCGTTCCCGATCAACATAGATTCGGTTCTGATTAGTTAATTGTGTATCGAATTAGGGCAAGAGTTCGCCGTGAAGAACACAAATCATGTTTTTCAGCGGTGATCCCTCGTCGCGGAAGCGAGTCGATTTAGGCGGCCGAAGCTCCAAGGAACGCGACCGGCAGAAGCTTGTGGAGCAGGCTCGGCAGGAGCGTAATCGCCGGCAGCACTTGCGTCAGCAGAACTCGGCGGCCATCAAAGTTCAGGTCTTTAAAAAACACCGACCAGAATGTGACTTTTCTTTGGAAATGCTTTTCTTTTCTGTTTACGCCGTACGATATTTATGCTTGGTGTGTGTGACATGTGTGTGTGTGTGTGTTGTATCATCACGGACAACACAGCCCTTTCATGAACAAATTGTAGCAAGGGGTATCAGTTTTCCACACGGATGCTATATTATGCACGGATTAGCTGCACTGGGTTATGACTTATTGAAGTAGGTATCCTAGCCTCCTAGGTCAAGTGTGTAGAGTTAAAAAGGATTTCTGAACAGGCTACATTTAGGAGTAATGCTCATAGTTAATGAGTTTTGCTTGCACCTGCAGTTTTTAGAAGGAACACTTGAAGACTGGGAGTATAATGCCCCTTGAGAAGGAATTTTACACTACTTTGGTATAAACTAGAGCAAAATTCCGGGTTTTTTAAGTTTTAAATGTTCAATATTTTCTCTAACTGTATGGTCAATTGTTCTTGGTGTATTTAGAAAGCTTAGAATACAGAAACACGTGAAGTATTTCTTAATTTCACTTTTTCCCTGTTGCATTTTTACTGTACACCCTTTTCCATAAGACAAAGCTGCAACAAGTTTGGCTTTACTTAATTCCTGATTCATCCTGCGTGCCATGGCTGCTTAATTTTAAGCTTGAGTGGAATACTGTATTGGGTTGGTTTTGAGGTAGTTGATGTTGGGCGACCATAGAGGATCTGGGATTTGCATCAATTTTGGTACTTTTGATGTTTTTTTTGCATGTCCTCTGTATTCGTAGCTTTCTTGAGAATGTAGTATGATAGGTTGAGCTAAAGGAAAGAAACTGTGATGTTGATCTTGAGAAATGGTATGATTAGTTGTCTAGTTGTTAATATTTGCATTGTTATCTAAAATATCGTCCCTTTTTCGAAATGAAATGTGTACAGATATATTAGTTACATAGTTCTTACCCTGATTTGCAAAAAGCAATATCTAAAATCTATTCATAACCCCCTTTTTCCTCTCACGATCTACCTGTTTCCGATATGCTTCCTTTAGTTTTTTTATTTACCTTGTCGTTTCGTGAACACCTTTTTTTTATTAATCTCTATGGCAGCTCCATTCTGTGAATACTTGTTGAACATCATAACTTAATTACTTAGAGTTACAGAAATTCTTCAGAGGAAGAAAGGCAGTTGAAGCTGCACATTCCAGAGTGCGCAAATCATTTTTCAAGACTTATGGGGACCATTGCCAGAACGTTCAGAGGTTGATTCATTTGTTTTGTCTTTTCATCTTAATTTAGAGTTGCAACCTTACTTTCCCATCTGGCTGTACCCTTAGTCTTCATAGTTTCACCTCTTATTAATTGTGCTATATAACTCATAAACACATTGCTCTTAACTAGCTTTTAGGAAGAAAGTCAGATCTCACACTGTTGTTAGAATTGTCATCATCACCTTCTTTTATTTCTGCATCACTCAGGCAGTCCTTTGCTCCAGATTCAGACTTCCTTCGGCAACTTCTTTTTTTCTTGAATCCAACAAGTGGGGCTGATTTTTCTGTCCTTGTGGAAGCATGCCAATCTTTACGAGAATTCACTCGTGATACTGGTTATTCATTCTTTCCTCTAATTTACCTCTTTTTTGACTTTTTTTTAAAATTTTGTTGTCAGTCATTGCATGCACAATTTTGAACATGTATATTGCATATTTTGAAATTTCTGAATATGAAATTTGAAATTTCTAGTATTTAGATGCATCTGCAGGTGGGCAGGTGTAAATTTATGTAGATTATCTATACTAACAAGATTTAAACAATGTTATACTTTAATGCTCCCTTTACCATCCTAAATCAAATTCACGCTTTCACTACATGAAGTTTAAGAAAAATGTTGAAAAGTGAAAAGTCAGTGGTTGTTCTTGGAATTTGTTTGGAAGGAAGAAAAATAGTTTGAGACACATATTCTTTTCCTTAAATGATATAGGAGAAGTGTGAAGTTTGATTTTGGAATGAGGAAAAAGGAAAGTGACAATGTGATTGTAGTACAGAGAGAGTAAAAGGTAAAATTAAGTAACAAACTCTCTCGGCCTATCTGTAATTGATAATACTGATGTGGTTACTCATAATTGACAAAATAGAAACTAGCAAGTTGTGATTGGTGTTAAGTGATTAGTACATACACATGGTTGTTTGTCTCCAGGGAGAGCATTTTGGTTCTTTTACTGAAGTACTATATCCAAGTAGATCTGGATGAATTCTAAGATGAGCAGTTTGTTGAATAACTTCTTGAACAAATTGATCCCATGTTTGTACAATTAAAATGTTTTTTTATCATCGTGACACATTTCTTCTTTTAATATTTTGTATAAATTTGAATATGTTTTAACATTCTATTCACCAAATAGGGGATATTGCTAGCATCTTTGGTGGCATGCAGTATGATATCAATCGTGCATTGGTGGACTACAGGGTCAAGAAACTTGCGTACGCTTGTACTCAAGCACTATATGCAAACAGGTTTGCTTTAAGATATTTGGTTTACTTCAATGGTTGATTTAAAGCAAACAGTGTTTTGTGTTCTTGCTCGTTTAGACGATGTATTTGGTTGCACTGATGTGAAAATGACTAAAGTTTTTCTAAATGCATAGTTTTAGAAAGGTATCTGAGGCTCACCTCGAGGGAAGAATTAGATAATTGCCTTGAGGCTTTTGCTTTTCCCCGTCAGGGAGAAGCTCATGCCTCACTTGGGTGAGGCTTATACTCTGATGATGCATATGATACTTATGCCTCTAATGTTATGCCAAAACAACAACATAGTATAATCCCAACTCTGTTGGGGTCTGGGAGCCAAGATGTATGCAGTATTGCAGTCTGACCTTGTAAAAACAAAGATGTTGAATCAGGAGAGAGTTTACACCTTTCTTAAACTGAATCAGAAGAGTAGGCAGTTTTGCAGTCTTAATCTTTCCATTTGCTTTTCTCACCTTCCTATTTGCTTACCCGTATTTTAAGAAAGGTGAAATTATGTGGTTGAGATTTGTCCAAGAGGAGAGAGTTTATGTGAATCATACAATTCTTCCTTAATAAGGAAACGGGACAATTAATCAGGGGACATCCAAAAACGGTGGAAAGATTAAAAAGGGAGAGTGGGAGTCCTTCATAATATATCACTAGTTTTTAATTATACGTAAACGATATAGGGTTGATGCAGAGAATATGATACAAAGAAAAGAGAGACCAGAGAAAATAAAGTATAGAGAAGATAATGAGAACACATAGATGAATGGCAGAGGGGGAGACGTTGATCGTTGGCGCCGGAGCTAGGCGATTGGATGCAATATGTAACATGGCTTGATTGATACAAATGAACTTTGCTGATCCTAGTTTTTGCAGTAAATCAATATCAATTCATTAAGAGGACATTTTAGCCACACACATACTCAGAACTAAAAAAGAGATCAACTATTAAAAAAATAGAGTAATCAAAACACCCTTTCATATTCCCTCTAATGTTTCGAAACACCTTCCATTTTTATGATTCTCATAAATAAAAGATGTCAATTCCCACAATTTAACTGCCATGAACAAAAACTGAGATGTGTATGTAGTTATGTACACATTGCTTACTCTAGCATAAATGATAAACATACAGAAAAGGACCACTAATACTGTATTAAAATTATCATTAAAATACCACCCACAATGCCATTTATAAACTAAAGGTTATCCTCATTATCACTTCATTGCATAACCAAGGCAGACATTGAATAACTGCCCATGTCGACATTGTTACTTGCATGATTTCTTAGCTTATCTGCTTGTCTTGAAACACCCATCACAATTTTTGAATTGGATGGAGTTCACGCTCTTCCGGGTAGTACATATGTGAATCTTAAATCAAACGTGCATGTTGCTGACATCTTTTGTGTTGGAAAGCTTTTCCTACCACAATAGCACTTTAAATGAGATACTTTCATATGCACAGGTGTTCTCTCTGTTACACCAACAGTCCAACACAATTATTAAAATATGAATACAATCAACATTTTAGAATCTAGAGTTCCGGAAGGGAATCTAAAGTCATTGGGCTAACTCGAGTAGTTTATTTTTTCCTTCAATTGAACAATAACTAACACACAATGGAGATGACTACTAATTGTTTAACTAGTATGCGTAGAACAAAAGTTAACATAAGAGTTTTGCTTCATGTGCTAATATGTGAAGGGTTTTTGCAACTTTTTCTTGGGAATCATATGGGTTGTAAGCCACCATCTCTTTCTTACATATTCCACAATGTTAGGAATACCTGTGACCCCATTCTAACAATATTTCAAGTGTTAATCATCTCATTTTAATAATACTTGCGACATACCCTTTGATTGTGATGCATCTAGAAAAAATAATATAATAATCAATGTACACCACTAGGCATAAAACTTGAGCTATGTTCATCTAAAATTGTACTGTTAGTGACCTGTTTCTAAAACAGGTTCCTTGTTATTCCATTAATAGACCTGAACTTTTGTTGCTTTTGCATTTAAAAGTGAATCTTTTTCTTTTTGTTGTTGAGAAAAGTGGATCTTTTTTAACTATTACTTCTATCATCTAAGGTTTTTTCAAACAGATGTCTTGCTCTTGTTTCTTCTTTTACAGGACTGAGTTGAAGGATCAACTTCTTGAAAGATGCGAAAACCTTCATACACCAATTATTATTTTATTGGATACAGTTCATTTATTGATTGATCCAAGGCTTCCTTGGGCCTGCAGAACAGTCACTTATCTTATTCAAAGAAATATTTATTCTTTGTTTAGAGAACTTATTGTGACATGGAAGGTAGTTATCAATTACATAGCTTATAGTTGTTCTTGCTAAAATGTTTTTTCTTTGTTTAGACAACGTATTCTGACAGGGAAGGTAGATATCAATTCCATTGCTTGTATTTTTCCTTCTTGCAGTCGGTACAAGATACATTATGTTTATCTACTGATGATGTTTAATTTAAGCAGGAAAGGATTTTTCGTGTTTCCAACAGGGTGGGTTCCTCTTTGGAGAGCATTATAGTTATAATCATGTCTCATGTTGGACAACCATCTTGTAGCTGCCCTATCCTTGATTCGGAATCAAGATTTCCTTCCCAGATTCTTACAATACCGTTTTTGTGGCACTTTTTCCCACACCTAAAAGAGGTACATTGATGCAAATGTTTGACTTGTTTTTGCAGGCTGTATTAACGTGTAGGTAGCTGGACAATAGGGAATATAAAACTTATAGTAGTACCTATTAATTGTTATTGATGCTTTATAAATTGTAATTTTTGCATTTTCATTAATGATTGATCGACTGATTTGCTCAATATCCACTGATATGATCATATCGAACAAAAGAGACTGTTTAATGTGTTTATGCAGTCTCTTTAACTGCTGATTTTAAATTCACATCTTACATTTGCACTTTTGGTACTTTTCCAACTTGGTTTAGTGTTTTTTATTTTTTTCACATTAACTTCATATTTCTGTTCATTATTCTATTGGTAGATTTTTGCAACGCCAGCGCTGAGTCAACATTATATCCATCAGATGGCCTTATGTGTCAAAGATCATAGTACTGTTCTCCCTCCTGACACAGCAACTGATTTGCCTGGATATGGATGCCTTTTGGGAAACCTATTGGATGTTGGAAGCCTTGCTCTCACTCAGCCAAACTCATTTGACATGGTTAGTTATGTTGACTTGCTTTTCCAAACTACCTCTTCACAGCTATTTGGTTATATTTCTTTTTCCATCTTCACTTTTTTTATTTGAAATACTTGATTTTACTCACTGATGTATGATTGTATGTGATGCTAATCAAAACTCTGATGCATTCCTCTGTCTAAAAAGTATGTAGCTCCATTCTGTTAGTTTAACAGCATCAATATCATATGCTTGACGCATCTTAACCAATGTGTCAAAGCTTCATTCCCTACTTCAGATGATTGTCACCTTTATGCTAAATAATACTCTCTCTGACTCTGTCTCATAAAAGTGATAAAACATTTCACATTTCTTTATTGTCTTGTCCCAAAAGGGGTTCCTCTTTCCTTTTGAGGAAGGCGTTGTTAGATTCACACAAATTTGTCTCTCCTTTGCACAAAACTCAACCACAAACTTTCACCTTTATTAATTCGTGTGACTCATCAATTGTGGAGCCTTAGTTCGAGGCCAGAAGGAGTAGCACTTCATATGCTATTAATGAAAGGATTATTATCAATTACAATTTAAGTTTAGACAAAAATGTGATGGTTTTTGTTACAAAGTTCAAACTGTAACCATAAGTTCAAATTAATAGTTTCCTCCTTATTAGAAAAAATATAGGTGTGTTTCTCTGTGCTGGTGCGTATTGGCTTATTGTTGATAAGTAGTTTTAACTTATAAGTTGCTTATGAGTTAAATATTCTTTCGTGCAAGTAAAATGACTTAAATGATATATAAGTCATTTGGCGATATTCATAAATGGTGAGGGATTGATCTGTAAATAATCTTGTCAAAATGTGAAATGAAAAAATTGGCTTAAAAATAAGTCAGTAAGACTGACTTTTTTTTTACTTATAAGCATCTTATAAGTCAGCTTATAAGCACAGAGAAACACGTCATCCATTGACTTATAAGTTAAAAATAACTTATAAGCAGTTTTGACCAGCTTATAAGCACATAGAAAAACCCACTTAAGGTAGTTCAAATTATTTTTTACTTCATAATCGGTGGAGTTTTGGAAGCATGTGGGTCGTGGTGGGTGGGTTTGGTTAACCAAACTCTTCAATGTTATCTTCCGGACAGCTAGGATGCCTGATGAGTGGAGGGAGTCTATTGGTCCCTCTGTTTAAAGGCAAGGGTGACATTCAGAGCTGCGAGAATTACAGAGGCATCAAACTGTTTAGCCACACCATGAATGTTTGGGAGCGAGTCATTGAGTATAGGGTGCGGAAAGGGGTATGCATTTCTGAGAACCAGTTTGGTTTCATGCCTGGCAGATCGACTACAGAGGCCGTTCACCTCGTGCGGAGGTTAATGGAAGAGTATAGGGTTAGGAAGAAGGACCTTCATATGGTGTTTATTGATCTTGAGAAGGCGTACGATAGGGTGCCAAGGGAGGTTTTATGGAGGTGCCTTGAGTCGAGAGGAGTTCCCATTGCGTACACTCGCGCGATCAAGGATATGTACGGTGGGGCTAGGACTAGGGTAAGGACCTCCGAGGGCGACTCTGAGTCATTCTCGGTAGGGATGGGGTTGCACCAGGGGTCTTCCCTTAGCCCTTTTTTGTTCGCCTTGGTGATGGACGTCCTGACACAAGGTGTTCAAGAAGGGGTCCCATGGTGCATGCTTTTTGCGGATGATATTGTGCTTATCAATTCAACTGCCTCGCCTCTGCCTCTGCCTCTGCCTCTCGCCGTCGTTCAAATTCTGCTCGCCGACTCAGCCTCCTGCCCTCCTCAAGTGCTCCTCAGCCGGCGCAACCCTCTTCCCTCTCTCTCCGAGTCACTTCTTTGCAGATTCAGAGCCAGTGCAATACTCCACACTTCGCAGGTCACTCGGACGTTTTTTTTTGTTTTCTTATTGTTTTTTTTGTGAATGGTTATTGTTTCTTTACAAATACTTTGCAGGTCACACTTAGATATATTTTTTTAATTTTTTTTGTACAATAGTTTTTCCCCAATGGCAGAAACTTCCTCCAAAAGTCATTGAAAGGATTTGGCTTGGAAATATATTTGACTTGAGGATCCTAAAAATACAAATAATACTACGTGTATTTTTTGTAATAACCGCTACACTGGAGGAATTAGTAGAGCAAAACGACATATTGTTGGTGGGTATTCTGATGCAAAACAACATATTGTTGGTGGGTAATAACCGCTAAATTTTGTTTTTTTGTTTTAACTTTTACCAATAACTCATGTTTTACTTTGATAATTATGTTTGATACAAAGTTAAGACTAAAAGTTTAGACTTAAACCATATATATATATGTATATATATATGTGTATTTACTAATTTATTTATATAATGTTCGCCATTTGACCGCCCGCCGTTCGCCACACTTCTCGCCATAAAAAAGAGCCTCTCGCCCGCCACTCGCCATTCACAACTATGGACTAAACGATAAGTTAGAACTATGGCGCCTTGCCCTTGAGACCAAAGGGTTCAAAATAAGTAGGAACAAGACTGAATACATGGAATGTCGTTTGAGCGGTCGGGAAACAAAATCAGAAGTGGAAATTAGGATTGACTCTCACCTAGTGCCTAAGGTAGACAAGTTTCAATATCTTGGCTCGGTAATTCAGGCTGATGGGGAGTTAGACGGCATAGTTATCAAGGCGTCGCCTAGGCGACGCTTAGGCGTCTGGGCGAGGTCATATGGACGCCTAACTGCTCGCCTAGCCTTTTTTGTGCAAACACCGGAGAAGATGACTGGAAGAAGCTGAGAGAGGAAGAAGGAGGAGAAGAAGATCTGAAGAAGACAAAAGACAGAGAAGATTGTGGAAGATCGAGCTCACCTTACTTGCCGATGCTGATTCATTGTCGCAACTGCCGAGATATCCAGCGGCTCCTCTAAACCCTCCGACTCTCTAACTCTCCAATTAGTTATTTTAGGTTAACTAATTTGGGCTGAGTTTATTCAAAGAGGAGTGGGCCTTTACACTTATTAATATAGTTGTTTATTAAAAGAGCATTGGGCCCAAATACTATTTCACTTTTAAAAAGTTTAGAAATATCAAAATATTTACTTATTTTTCTTAATATATTTTTAAATTTTATTTTTTTGAAAAACAACATTCATTCATATATTTTAGAATATATACTCTTTATTTTTTGGGGTTCATATGTTCTCTTTAATTACTTATTTCATATTATATGCTTTTATATTAATACCTATAAAATATTAAAGTTGTCATAGCCACTCGCCTAGAGGACGCCTAGGCGGACGCCTAATTGCTTAGGCGATTAGAAGGTACCCGAGCGCCTGGACTCGCCTAGTCGCCTTAACAACTATGTTAGACGGGGATGTTGGACATCATGTTGGAGTGGCTTGGGCCAAATGGCGGTTGGCTTAAGGGGTGTTGTGTGATCCGAAGATTTCGCCCAGGATGAAAGGTAAATTCTACCGGTCCATAGTCAGACCTGCTATGTTATATGGGGCAGAGTGTTGGGCGGTTAAGAAGACTCATGTGCGTCGTCTGCATGCGGCGAAAATACGGATGTTACAATGGATGTGTGGGAAGGCAAGGTTGGATAGGATTTCGAACGAAGTTATCCAATGTCAGGTAGGCATGGCGCCGGTGGAAGATAAGCTGCGGGAAGCGAGGTTGAGATGGTTTGGTCATGTGAGACGACGGAATGCTGACGCCCCTGTACGGAGATGCGAGAGGAGTACGGTTGTCGGGGGAAGTAGGGGAAGGGGTAGACCTAGGAAGAATTGGAAGGAGGTGATTAGGCAAGATTTAAGACTTCTCACCCTGACTGAGGATATGGCTTTAGATAGGAACCTTTGGAGAACTAGAATTAGAGTAGTTGGATAGGGGCCCGGTGCTTCAGAGGTTTTTTGTAGTGTGTTTTGTTTGATTGGAAATTTTTGCTATTGCTTGCAGGACTTTCATTCCATTGTAATTGGTGCTTTATCTATGTTATAATGATTCCATTTACTTCACAGGCTATTGATTTTGCAATTGTTTCTGCATTTTTGTTGGAAGCACTTCCATCACTCAGAAATTCAAGCCTGGGAAGCAAAGGATGTAAGCAATAAAAAAACTACTCTCTTTGGACCTTATTATAAGAAAAAGTTGACCATATTACAAATTCGAAGGGAAGTACTTAATAATCTTGTTCCTTAAAAATATTATAATTCAATTTTAGTATCATATATGCATTGTGAATAAATACTATTTGAAAAAAATGAACACTTTATCAGGGGCAAACCATGTAAAAACAATTAATGCTTTTAAGAAGAAAGAAAAGCCATATAAAAAGAATCATTGACTCCTTTTAAGAAATACCTTAAATATAAGGACTGGAGGGAGGAATAATTTGCTTCTTGTTCTGAATAGTATGCCTTTTCTGCCTAGATTGTAATCATTTGACGGAGATCAGCTTGTAAAATGGTATGTCACTATATGTTCTTCAGTTTCCCAAATGGCTGATGATGAAATGATTATTGGAGATGAACCAAGTGATGAGGTTCTGAATTTGGACTTGGAGCAACAAATATCGAAAGCAATGGAACCATCTTTTCTTCTACAGTTGGTTGGTGGTTTAATAAACCTTCTTATTATGTGTTATGAACTTTATAAAATGGTTTACTAATGTAATCTTGTCTCAATGTCTCCACTCACAGAAATTAAAGACTGAACTATGATTTTATTTTATTGATCAGATAAATGTCTTCTTTGGGAGGTCTGCACCCACCAATGCTGTACAAAGTGGCCAGTTTAATGAGAAAGTTGCGGAAGCTGTTGGTGCAGCTTGTGTGTTCCTGCATGTGATTTTCAATATATTAGACCCTGATAGGATTATGACTATAATTGCCTATAGGACAGAACTGGTTCCTGCACTTTGGAACTTTATGAAGCAATGCCATGAGAGTCAGAATTGGTCATTGCTGTCAGGGCAATCAACATATTTGCCTGCAGATGCTCCTGGTTGGCTATTGCCATTGGCTGCTTTCTGTCCTGTTTACAAGTAAGAGGTCTTTGGCAAAGACTCTTTAGTTCAATACTTTAAGTCCATATAGGTGGTTATTTTCTTTGGCAATTAACTTTGATGCAAGTTAAGTTTAGATGACTTTTATTTTTGTTTGTAATTTTGTGCTGGATCAGGCACATGCTTATGGTAATTGACAATGAGGAGTTCTATGAACAAGAGAAGCCATTATCCTTGAAGGATATCAAAACTCTGATTGTTATCTTAAGACAGGTAATCTCCAGAATAACACACTGCACAAATAGTGTGTTGGTTCATTAATATCAAGTACCCTATTGACCGTAGAGAAGAAGTTTACAATCCGAAGATAATTTAATTCTCAAATATTCAAAATTTAAACTCCTATGAGAATTAATTTCCAACTAAGCTATCAATTCTCTAAAATTGTTTTTATTCTACATTTAGGGAAATACTCTATAACTAATACATTGTAACATCACACTCAAAACATCACACACATTGCCTACTCATAATTGCGGAGTGAGGGCTTAATGGCTTATATAGCCCTCATGTTACAAAGCACAATGAAGGAGGACATATCTGGCTAGAAATGATAAAAGATTGTTAATGTAACTAAATAATTCAAAAATAACTTCAGATATAATTTTAATAGCTTCTGAAATAGTTTTTGGAGACTTCTGATTGTCGAAGGGACTGCGCTGAAGAATTTTGGAATCCCTAGACAGTGCAAGGTTTCAAATATGTGTCAAATTCAGAATACAAGGCATTAAAGCAGAAAACACCACAAATCCCAGTATTCCTCAAATCAGTGAAAGCAAATTTATTGTTAGTGGGATGAGTGGAAGCTTTTGGTGGGACCAAGAGTCTTCCATGGTTATGGCCTAATAAGTCTTGGCAATGGAACTCTCTTGTGTTTGCTTGTAACTTTTGGTTCCGCTCTCTTAAGGTAGCCAAATGTTTCCATCATCTCCGATGGAGCCAAAATTTCACCATTTTTTGGCTTTGGGGTGTGATGGAATAAATCAAAATGGATCTCTAAATTGTCTGCGCTTCTTTAATTAATGAAGTAGCTGTTAGTCAAGCAATGCAACTTTCGACGTTGAGCCGGGGGTCTCTTTGGAAACAGCCTCTCTACTTTCGAGTAGGGGCAAGGTCTGCGTACACACACCCTCCCCAGACCCTACTCTTGTGGGATTTAACTGGGTTGTTGTTGTTGTTGTTGTAAGTCTGGGGAGAGGCGAGTAGATCTTAACAGTTATTGCAATTTGGAAATCTACGCGCTCTTAAGAGTATGTTAAAAACATTTGCAAGTTTCAAACTTAGCAGCGGAAGTCTGAACCTCAATACTACCAAAGTTCTTCCTTTTAGATTAGTCAAAACTCCTCTTAATGAACACTTAGATGGCTTAAAACAATAGTCTTAAAGTATGAGAATACTTCCTTGAGCTTCCAATTAAGAAGCAGTCACTAAGTTGTTTTTTGTGCTGATGTGTTGTGCGTGTAAAACTGTAAATAGATACGCAAAGCATTGAAGTAAATGACAGAATTGCATGCATATTTTATAATGGTTTGGAGGTTGTGTCACCCCCCTACTCCAGTCCCTCACTCCATGAGGATTTTTCACTAATGTATTCATCAACAAATACATAAGTGTGCTAATGTCGATGCCCAAATACTCAATCAGACTTTCTGAGGTTTTCACGAGATGGGAGAATGACATCTTCAAGGTACTCTTCACTCCTTCCACCAGTCAAAAAATATTAGTACCCACGCCTCTTGTCGATCTCTTTCAGTTTTCACTAGACACACTCAGTTACTCTTTTTACCGTCTTTTTGTCAAAATGAAAAAGGTAAATCTCTTATCAAGCTCTAAGAAACTTGGTGTTTACAGTGAGGATATAAAGCTGTTAAGTTTTGAAATAATAAGAATGCACCGTATAAGCCCTTTCTTTTTCTTTTTGCTTTTTTGAGAACTAGGTTTCGGGCTTCGCCCAACTATTCCTGGACCTAAGAACCACCCACTCAGACCACATAGATAGGTAAGTCCGGATTTGATTCTAGACAGCGTACAAGGTAACTGCCCCACTATCATCTCCAAGAAAAGGCTCCTCCTCCCTAGAATTGAACACGTGACCTCTCTTATAATCCTCTCTCCCTACTACCAACATATAAGCTCTTCTTTCTTGTATAATGGTTGTTCATGCTGTTGTATTATTCCGTCTTCAAGGCTTCTTTTATCACCATTTTGAATATCATTCTGTTAGAAGAAAGGCGATATTCACATTGATTCTCTTTGTGTACTTTCTGCTTGTATTGGCTATATTTCACCACCTTCCTGTTGTAAAGAAATTGGCCAAGTCCCTTTTTATCTGATTAGCCTTTCATTGAACAATAGTCTTTCTTGGGAAGATCTTTTAAGAAATTTTCTCTTTTAATTTTCAAATGACCCTCTCCTCTGCTCTTCTTCCTTAACCTGAGCTTTCTGTTTGCATTTCAACTTCTTGCAAGTTTGCATTTGTATTCAATTAGCAGCCTGCTGTTTTTTAAACTTGGTGATCTCTCTTGTGGTTTTTGTTTTAACAGACCTGCTAGAGCCTTCCTTGCCTTAGACCCTTTTGTTGGAAAGAAGGCAAAACCCTCCTGGGTTTTAGACCTTCCTATGCTTTAAGTCTGCAGGAGTCTGAATCTTATTGATTATTGGATTAATGGTGTAACACCTGTGTTCTTATCTTAGATCTCAGGGGAAGCAATGGTGGATTAATTACATGACGATATTTTTGGGACGGAGGGAGTATAAATCTTATTTTTTAATTTTACATCAATATTTGAATAAAATAAAATAAAAATAACTTTAGTTAAACATCATTATGCGTGTGTCAAGTTAATTGGAAGACGGATGGAGTATATTGTAATTACTAATATCAATTTAAATATTATTGCAGGAGAATTATTTTTGACTTAAGGGAGTTTGTTAGTTTAATACACATTTGCGTGTGTGTGCATAAAGTACACTTTACTCTAGGGTACTGATTAGTACTGTGTAGTCTTACTTTTTTGTGTTATTTATTAAGTATACTTTGGTTATCTTCTTCAGGCCCTGTGGCAGATCATGTGGCTGAATCCTGTGCATATAACTAATGTCAAGAAACATGTAACTGATAGATTCAATACAAAGAGGAATCATGTGGATTTTATTCAGAACGAGGTTTGTGTTGTGGCTTCTGAGCTTCTCTCTAAGGTATGCATGGTCATAGTTTAGATTTTTGAAAGTATTCCTTATTGGTATATTGCCACTTTTTGTCATCTTCATATTTTAATTTTTTTAAATTACTACTGCATGTATTATATATGAATATTTTGTGAAACTGTTCTTTTGCTGTAGTTGCAAGACTGGAACAATAGAAGACAATTTACATCTCCCAGTGACTTCCATGCTGATGGTGTCAATGAGCACTTTATCTCTTCGGTAAAGCAACCAATTGAAGTTTGCTTTTTGCATTTATTCACATTTGTTTTTTCTTTTTTCTTTTTAAGTTCAAACTCACTTAGTTATATGCTTGTATAATTCCTAATTCCATCCAGGCAATGATGGAGAACACCAGAGTTAATGATATACTGAAACAAGCTCCCTTCTTGGTGCCTTTCACCAGCAGAGCAAAAATATTTAATGTAAGTGGTCAGTGGTGATTGAGTCTTAATTTCTTCAATTTACCAAGGGGCCAGGGTTGGTAAATTGATCATCTATGCTTTGAAGTTAGTTATTAATTGTGTTTCACATGCCAGTTCAAGCTTGCTTCTTCAAGAGAAAGGAATGGGAGTCAAGCTGTTTTTGCAAGGACTAAACTTAAAATACGAAGAGATCATATTCTAGAAGATTCTTTTGATCAGTTGAATAAATTATCTGATGATGATCTCCGTGGATTGGTGCCTTCTTGTTCTGTGATCATGGATTTTTTTTATTATCTTTATGGTTCTGAACTTCTGATGCACAACATACATTCTGTATGTCAATGCTTATCCGGATAGAAAGCTAGCTGTTTGTTTTATAGCTCATCGTCACATTCCTGCTTTCCCAGATTCGTGTGACTTTTATCAATGAATTTGGAGTTGAAGAGGCTGGTATAGATGGTGGTGGGATTTTCAAAGACTTTATGGAGAATATTACACGTGCAGCATTTGATATACAATATGGATTATTTAAGGTGGTGCACGTATACTTCCTACAATTGCTTTTTTACACAATCTTTCTAGTTAAGTGTGTAATGACGACTCGCTAGTTTATCACTTGTCAGTGCGACAGTGCATGCTGATTGCTGGACATGGGACCTTTTTCTTTTCGACATAGATATGTGAAAGTTATCAGTGTCCATCAATTTACTCATAGGCATGTAAAAGAATTAAAACCTAATACTCCCTCCGTCTCCAAATCCTTGATCAACTTTGACACTTTGACTTCATGGAGTTAGAAAAGTGTTGAAAACTGAAAGGGGTTTGGGGAGAAATGAAAATTGTGGTTGAAATTTATTTGAAAGAGAAATAAAGTTCTCCACATATTTATTTCCTAAAAGAGAAAGTGGAAAAGTGTAGAGTTGTTATTTTGACATCCAATAATGGAAAGTGTAAAGTTGATTTGGAGACAAAGGGAGTTTATTTTTACATAGAGCAAGAATAGAAGTAAAATGAATCTGAGGTAGAAACGCGTTGAAAGAAGTTACATAGAAAGATACAAGGAAAAGTCATGCAGTAACACAAAAAAATTGAGTACATTGCAGAAAAGAATTAATTGTGTTTGTGGCTGCTGAATATTGAGATATTTTCCATTCAACAACATACACATAATGATTCCTTTCACTGAAGTAACACCATGCATTTTAATTTATTGTAGTGAGTACTAACTCTATTTTCACACGACCAACTGAAAATGTAAAAGAATACATACATGAGATGTCTTAGTCATACATATTCTCAACCGTTATGACTGTGGTCATTCATTATTGCATGTCAAAATGCTCAAATAACTTGTGATGGAGTCATATCAGGGAGAATAGTTTCAGAAAAATAATTTTTAATGAAAAACTATTTTTCATGTTTTTTATTTTTTTATTGTAATTTTGTGTTTGTTTTCAGTTAAGCATATGTATCTATCTTTACGTGCCCAGGAAACTGCTGATCACCTATTATATCCCAATCCCGGATCAGGGTTGATCCATGAACACCATCTACAATACTTCAAGTTTCTAGGGGTTGTCCTTGCAAAGGTATTGTCTTTAAATAATCTCCCTATCATTTTTGAGAACATGTGAGGACTTCCAAATTTTTAATTTTTTTATGTCATCATTTTTGTTTGTTTTGCAAATTGGGAAATATTTAGATACTAGGAAGCTAATGGGGGGGGGGATTAGTAGGCTGCCACGCACTATATAACATACACAAAGTAATAGAAAGTAGTATTTGAATGGGGTGGTAAGGAGATTTACTCCGTACTTTACAAAGGAATGTGATTTGATTAAAACAATGAAGACAACCTATTAATCTACCTTGGCGTAAGTGTAAAAGGAAAATTAGGTAGTGTGCATGCGTTAATGGGTTGTAAAATATTTTCTTTTATGATATATTCAACCAATACTCCTAAAATCACAAGTGTTGTTTGATCTTGGTTGTATTTAGTATTTCAAAGATCAGAACCCAAGAGGGAGGGAGGGACGGGGTGGGGGACGGGGTGGGGGCCGGGGGGGGGAGTTGAAGGGAGGAGATCAGAGGAGAGAACGTTTATGTAGAATTAAGAAAGGAGGCCTGGACTGACGGTTCAAGGCAGGCAGAAATAACGTACAAATTTAGATCTTTTCTTGTCTTTTACATTCTTTTCCATAATATTTTCAAAATGTCTCTGTTTTTGGGAAAGCTTGGGATAAAATGTTTTATTTCCCGGGGCTTATGCTTATAGTGCTTTTGGGAGATGTAATCCTAGGGGTGGGCATGGTTCAAGCCGGGCTCATTTTTAAGGAACCCGGCTTCGGCTTGTTTTTAAACGTGCAGAACACACGTCAGGATATGTTGATGAAATTTTAAATTAGAAACCAACCTGACCTGACTTGTTTTAAACAGACCGGTTTTGTGATTCAACGAGTCGGTTCGGCAAGATGAAGACATTATTTTTTTTTTCTGCACATTTATGTGCGTTTTTACACTTACACCTTACATGCATCACACAATCTAAAGGACACATTTAATAAATTTTTATACTCAAAGAATTTATTTATAAGGTTCAGATCCCATTCCTCATTTATTCTTTACCATTATAAATGTGATTTTTTTTTGGGAAGAATGGTATGTTATTTTAAAAATGAAAATTAGTTTTTTAAAGTAAAAATGTCTAATGGGCTGGGCATGGGCTAATCATAGACAAGAATATTAAGCGCATACACAAAAGTGTCAAATTCTTATCACACAAGATTGGCTGGTCTGGGTCTAATTACTCCTTCCCTCCATTAATTTCTTTCCAACTTTCGTTTGGGCCATCCACAAATTTCCTTCTCGTTTCCTTTTTTGGAAAATGTTTTTGGACTAAATGTTTTATTTACCCTTACAATCATTATGACCCCGATCTATTCTCCCTCTTCAACCCGTCTTTATCTTCTACGAACACCATTTAAATGCTTTCCCATTCTTCGTCGGATACTCAAAGCTCACAAAGTTCCCAACCCATCAACTTCTTCTCCCCCTTCCAATTACAAATCTATGACCACATTCTTCACCGACTTTGTCCAAATCCTTTTTGATTTCTTGACCCAGATTTGACCCACCCTCATCTACATCATTTTTCATCTGAGAGGATTTCAGTTCCAGCTGCCAATGTTTTACAGGGACTTGCTTCCAAGGAACTTGACAGATCTGTATCCTTGGAAATGGTAGAGCCCACTTAACATCAACGATGGATTGGGGGAGGATGATGGCGTTCGCCAGGATCTTGGCACTGAACATCGCGACAGCGTGGTATCAGACAAACCAGTTTTCATTGGAGGTGATCTACCACAGTGGATCTGGAATCGGTTAGAGCATTCTACATCATGTTCTATGCTGGACTCGCAATCAGCTCTGTACGAAAGATGGGCATAGAGGGGAATTTCATTAAAGTCAACACGAATTTTAACTATTCTTAATAATCATGCTCGGTCAAAGTTGGAAAGAAATTTATGGACGGAAGGCGTATTATTTAACGGTTGGGACTTTCCAGTTTGTTTTTCCAATGGATTCAGTCCCCCTGTCCCTCTTTCAAAGTTAGAAATTTGGACCCACCCTTAACTACTTCCCCAAACTGTGCGCTTGAGTTCTTACCCGTAGTTGCAGGGCCGTATACCCGCCCCTAATCATCCCCAAGCTAGTACTCTCTCCGTCTGGGAATTAACTTCCCATTTGACGTGACACACTTGTTAAGGAAAGTAGAAAATCTTTGAATTTTCCGAATTGCCCTCCTACCCTATTTACCGCTAATGGTACTGCTAGAACAGAATATATTGGAAAAATGCCGCTACTGGTAAAAGAATATATCGTTGGGACCGCCGAAACGCTGCTACTGGTAACGAAAACTACTGAAATGCTGTGGCTGGTCACTGGAATGCCTGTGCAACGTCCTTCGTAAAGATCTAAGGAGAAATTAACAGATTCAGATACAAAGATCCAAGGAGAAATAGTAATTGCAGTTAAATTATGGTCAGAGGGAGTTAAAAGTTAAGAAAGGCATCGAATGGAGTTCAGGGTCATCTTTGAGAACCTATGCCTCATATTAACTCCAAATGACTGATCTGTGATTTTAAGACAATTAGAGGGAGTTCTGGCGTCCCCGTTGGTGCTCTGTCTCTAAAAGGAGGGCCGTCGCTGCTTTATTGCTCGCTCAACTGAGGGTCGTCGCTACTCTATTGCTCAACCGAGGGCCACTTTTGGTTTTATTTTTTTTGTCACAACGGTGGGCCAGATTCACGGTCTCCATGGTTGCATCACCACGCGAGTGTTGCCATCGTTGCTCTATAGCTGTAACGGGGGGAGTTTACTGTACAGAAGGGAAGCTCATGCACATTGAAGATAGAAGTGAATCTAGGGCTAGAAATGAATCTTGGGTTGAAATGGGAACTGGATAGGGTTACAACAACAACAACAACAACCCAGTTGAATCCCACTACAGTAGGGTCTGGGGAGGGTGTGTGTACGTAGACCTTGCCCCTACTCGAAAGTAGGGAGGCTGTTTCCAAGAGACTCCCGGCTCAACCTGTACAAACAATATGGTAGGGAACACAATATAACAGGATATATCAGGATAAAGCACCAAGTACAATGAAATGAAAGTCCAACAAGCAAAAGTAGAAGATTCCTATCAAACACAACACACTACAAAAAACCTCCGCAGCACCGAGCTCCTAACCAGCTACTTTAATCATAGTCCTCCAAAGGTTCCTATCTAAAGCCATATCCTCAGTCAGGGTGAGAAGTCCTAAATCCTGCCTAATCACCTCCTTCCAATTCTTCCTAGGTCTACCCCTTCCCCTACTTCCCCCGACAACCGTAATCCTCTCGCATCTCCGTACAGGGGCGTCAGCATTCCGTCGTCTCACATGCCCAAACCATCTCAACCTCGCTTCCCGCAACTTATCTTCCACCGGCGCCATGCCTACCTGACGTCGGATAACTTCGTTCGGAATCCTATCCAACCTTGTCTTCCCACACATCCATCGTAACATCCGCATCTCCGCCGCATGCAGCCGACGCACATGAGTCTTCTTAACTGCCCAACACTCTGCCCCGTATAACATAGTAGGTCTGACTACGGATCGGTAGAACTTACCTTTCATCCTGGGCGGAATCTTCGGGTCACACAATTCCCCTGAGGCCAACCGCCATTTGGCCCAAGCCACTCCAACACGATGTCCAACATCCCCGCCTAACTCCCCATCCGCCTGGATTATCGAGCCAAGATATCCCCGTCTAACTCCCCATTCGCCTGGATAGGGTTAAATGAAGGTAATTGCAACGGTGAAAAAGGAAGGACATTCAATATAGAAAATTTACAGACGGCCCAAAAGGGAATATGGGAAGCTAATTTCTGGGCGGAGGGAGTATTATTTTCCTTAAAAATGAAAATGAAACATTAAAACTGGCAGGGCTTGAATTGAATCAATTTGGTGATTCTGGTTTGAGGCTAAGCTTGACTCAAAACAATATATAAGTCACGGTCTGTTCTCGACTTAAAAGCGTGCTAGAACTCATGAACTTCACTCTGATGCTTTTCTTTACATGTTTTATTCAAAGTTGCATACGACACACAGAAACACCATTTCCCATTGAAGAGAACAATGAAGCAATGAAGGGGAGGAGAGAAATATGAATGAGAAGAAGAAACAGAACTTGTATGGAAGAAACGATAGAGAGTATTTGAGATGATCAGTTGTTTCGTTGTTTTTGTCTCTCCCTTTGCCTAATAATTACTGAGCAGCTCAAAAAATATAATGAATTTGGATATTATCTGGAAATGAATGTATATAGAAAAGAGATACTTAGCCAACTTGGGATTATGTTTCTTGTTTGCTACTGTAACTACCATGTTGTGTTCTTTGCAGTACCGAATGACCTTTCTGCTAAATTCTCTTACTGTAGTGGTTTCACCTTAGTAATTGAATTAATTAGCTATGTCCTCCTTTTGGGTTGGATTTACTCTTTCAAGATTGCTTTTTACCCAGGTTTACTACCTCTATCATGGCGAAGATTTTACACTTAAATTTTAACTTGTCATTGCAGGCTATTTTTGAAGGGATACTTGTTGACATACCTTTTGCTACTTTCTTCCTTAGCAAATTGAAGCAAAAGTAAGATTTTCTGAAATACTTCGTATTATCTTTTTCATCTCTTCTCTCCACTTTCCAGTGAATTGATTTAATGTTAATTTTCCTCTTTTCATACTTAAATTTATATAATGTAAAACCATATAGGCTTACCAAATACATTGGTTGTTTTACGTTTGAGATGGAAAAATACCATGTCAGTGCATTTTCTTTTCTTTGTTCACAAGAGGATTAAAATTAGTTTTAAAAGCAGAAAATCAAAAGCTGTATTCCCAAATCATTAGGGTCGATCATATGATCCGATAAAAATTCTCTGGTGGTCACTTAACAAAAGTTTCATATTCCACCCTTTTGTGTCATGTACCATACTCATTCTAAGTCGTAAGGCACTAATTTCTCTTTCAACACTTACCATCGATGTCGTTTCTAGTCTACCACAATTCCATAGGTTTTCGATGCTTAGATTATGCTTGTGCCACGACACTTCTCTTCATTTGGCATGCCTAGACCAACATAGTTGGTTTTCTCTTAATTTATCTCCCATAGCTGTTGCATGCATACGACATCTCTCTCTCTTCTTTTCCCTCCCCTTCTCTCTCTCTTTCTCTCACTCTCACACACACACACACACACACTCTCTCTCTCTCTCGAATCTCCTCATTGTGCATTGTATCGTTTCTAATCTTACAACAACCCAATTAGATCTCACGAAAGTGGGGTCAGGGGAGGGTGTGGGTACAGACTTTGCCTCTACTCAAAAGTAGAGAGGCTCTTTCCAAGAGACCCCCGTCTTAAGCTGCATAGATAAAAATTTACCAGAGATACAACACAAGCGCAAAAGAGGTTTGGAACACTCTAAGGTTAACAAAGGATAAGTACTCCAATCCAATATCACAAAGCTTATAACACATACAAAGCACACAACAAGAAGTACAAAAAACTACCCTTAGTCCAAAACTCCAAGACGCCTACCCAACTACTCTAATTCTAGCTCTCTATGCCTACCCGAGTTCGGATAGCCTCGTTTGGAATCCTATCCAACCTCGTCTGCCCCCACATCCATCGTAACATCCGCATCTCCGCTGCATCCAGTTGAGAAACGTGGGCAGTCTTAACCGCCCAGCATTTTGCCCCATACAACATAGCTGGTCGGACTATGGACCAGTAAACTTACCTTCCATCCTAGCCAAAATCTTCTTATCGCAAAGCACCCCTGCGAACCTCCACTTAGGCTGCGTTCCGTTTGCCTGATCTGATCAGATATAATCTGATTGGATGTGATCTGGTCTGATCTAATGAGATCTGATCTGATATAAATTTGATTAAAATTAAAATTAAATTTATTATTATAATAGTTATAATAATAGAAATAATAATAATAACAATAATAATAGTAGTAATAATAATAATAGTAATAAGAATAGTAATAATAATGATAACTATAATAATTATACTAATAATAAATTAATAATAGTAATAATAATAATAGAAATAATAATATGAGTAATAATAGTAATAATAATTGTAACAAGAATAGTAATATTAATAATAACTATAATAATAATAATACTAATAATAATAGTATTAATAATAATAGAAATAATAATAATAATAATAATAATAATAATAGAAATATTAATAATAATAATAGTAATAACAATATTAGTAACAATGATAATAATGATAATAATAATAATAGTAATAGTAATAGTAATAGTAATAATACAAGTAATAGTAATTGTAATAATAATAGTAATAAAATAATAGAAATAATAATCATAGTAATAAAAATAATATTAGTAATAGTAATAATAACAATAGTACGAATAAATATAATAATAATAGTAATAATAATAATAATAGTAATAATAATAGTAGTAATAATAATAGTAATAACAATAATATTATTAATATTAATAACAATAATAATAATAGTAATAATAATAATAACAATAGTAATAAAAATTATAATCATAATATTATTAATAATAATAATAGTAGTAGTAATAATAATAATACTAATAATAATAATAGTAATAATATTAATAAAAATAATAATATTAATTTTGTTTAGATCTTGTGTGATCTGATCTGGTCTGATTTGATCTGCGCTGATCTGATCTGATTTTAATAAGAATTAGTAATAAGCAGAAAAAATAAGTTGAACGGAACGCTGCCTTAGCCTAAGCCTCTTCAACACGATACGCAACATCCCCTTCCAACTCCTCATCTGCCTGAAATCCCTAAATGACGGAGCCAAGATACCGAAACTTGTCTACCTTGAGCACTAGGTGAGTCAAGCCTAACCTCTTTAATCTTAATACACACATCAATCACACATTGAGCTCGTGGCCATCATCATCTTCTCTGTCCCAACTTGCAGAAGGAAAATGCTCAAGCCTCGTCCGTCATCGGTCAGATCTAGTTATTTGTCATGTTTTCTTCGTGTCCTTCGTTGTTGGCATCATCGCCTTTTCTGTTTTTACGTGTGGTCAGATCTCTTTGAGGTACCAGTAAGATCTTGTTGTTTATTGCTGGGTCGTCGCCGATGTTTGGTCAGATCTTGAGACGATTTATTTGTTCGTATCTCCTTACAACACCGGTCAAATCTTCTCCGTTGTCAGCGCCATCGCCAGTGTCGTCACCAACTGACATCATCTCTGCCGGCCTGGTCTTCTTTATAACATTTTTGTTGTCAGAAGAATTAGGCAGTGACAGCGGTGGGTGTAATTGTGAGAGAGAATAGAGGGTAAAATTGACAATTGAATACATTAAGTTTTACTAACAAAGGAAAGTGGATGAAAACAATTGGACGGCCCGAAAAGAAAACTGGACAAAAACACCAGGTCAGAGGGAGTAACTTAATAGTACATCGGAAAGTAAAGTGAGGGAAGTGAAAGTTTCTTGCTCTTTAGACTTTGACATATGAAACGTAATGAAGTGTTTGATTGGTAAATATCTTGTACATTGGAAATCGAAGGGTAAGTAATACAAAATGCAAGTTTTGTGTGATATACAGCTTTGCCTGGGGAATTCATTTTTAGGTCGAGAGAAAAATACCTGAGTAATGATTTGCCACTCTTCATCGGTTATATCCTTTGTGTAGGCTTTGCTTACTGATTTTCTTTTGTTTTGTTTTCCCATTTGCTTTGCTTCTCAGGCATATTTATTTGAATGATCTACCATCTTTGGACCCAGAGCTGTACCACCATCTAATATTTCTGAAGGTTATTTTTATTGCTTCTTATTGCAAGTGCTTACTATTTATTTGTGGTCAATGAAACCCTATACTTCATTTATTTTTTAGTCCATGAATAGCAGACAACGCTCAGTTTGAATAAAGTCGGTACTATGCTGCAATCTAACAAATGTGGCATACACCCTCCCCAGACTCTACGTTTGTTACTGGGTTGTTGCTGTGGTGCTTTCGTGTTTCCGACATTTTCTTTCATTTAAAATGATCTTGAGAGATACTGTTTGGCTGTGTGGTGTGTGAGAGATTAGCATCAAGATAAACTTTGTTATGGTCAGTAGTAAAAAAATGCTCTAATATTATCTGCTCATTCGTTTTACGAGGCTAAACAGTGTTTGCACATACTTGTGCCATGTTCATGGGGCATTCATTTTAGATGTATATTTGTTCATTTTTTTATATTCTAAAAATGTGTGAAAAGGAATCATGCGTGGCACACTCTCAATTTCGTAAATATAGATGGTTCATATTGCATGAAAGTTCAAAAACTATTCTTTTGACAAGATGAACGATCATTTTGTGCATATTTTATTATTTTGGTAATAAGATAAGTCTTCTAGAAATAGTTCTTTTAGGTTGATATTTTTTTGGGATAGACACAAACCTTATGTCCAAGTAGGGGCAAGGTCTGCACACACCCTCCCCAGACCCTACTGTAGTGGGATCCAACTGGGTTGTTGTTGTTGTTGTAGACACAAACCTTATGTCTTTTACAGTTTGTACTGTTGCCTATTTGTCCAGGGAAAAGTAAACCATGAGTTTTCCCTTTGGGTTATTGAGTTTACCAACTTAGTTTGCAAAATACTTAAATTTATATTGGTGCTATGTCAAATTCATTGTTTCTGTGAAATTATTAATTTTATTATTGCCCAGTAATCACAGTGGTGAGTGCACGTTGATACTGAACCAACTGAAGATGGTCTTTCATGGACTTCTCTCATTGATTGAAGCTGCCTTTGTCTTGTTACTTATATTATTTTTATCTTTTCACATTGTCTTTCTGATTTTGTTCCCACTCATTTCTGATTTGCAGCATTATGAGGGTAATTTATCAGACTTGGAACTGTATTTTGTTGTGGTTAACAATGAATATGGGGAGCAAAAAGAGGAGGAGCTTCTCACAGGTGGAAAAAGCATGCGAGTTACAAATGAAAATGTCATCACCTTTATTCATCTTGTAGCAAACCATCGTTTGAATGCTCAGGTGCTATAATATGCCTTCCTTTTTATATCCTTCACTCAATGCCAGAGCTTCTTATTTTTATGTTGGTCCTTCGATAAATCATGACTTGGTTTTTACAAATGATGTTCTAGATACGTGAACAAAGTTCTCATTTTTTGAGGGGCTTTCAAGTCTTAATACAGAAGGATTGGATTGACATGTTTAATGAGCATGAACTTCAGGTGTGAATCTCTTTTGACTAGCAAATCTAATTTGAATTCTATATATCATAAAACAGGTGTGAATCATTCTTACTGCTGTAGACCTGGGTGTGTTTTCTTACCCTTATTTGTTGCTACTCCATAGAATGCTAGATTGTTTGTTTGGGGTATCAATAGTTAATGAATCTCTTTGGCTTAGCAAATCACTTTTGAATTCTATACCATAAAACAGGTGTGAATCATTCTTAATGCAATAAAATGCTCAGTGTGTTTTCTTACCCTTATTTGTTGCTACTCAATTTATGTTTGGTTGTTTATTTGGGGTATGAGGGTATCAATGGTTAAGTTGTTAGTTTATTGATTTGCATTGTAAGTTTTCCTTGTACAACCAGGTAGTGTCCCTTACTCTATTTGCCATCTTTATTCGTTCACGCTAGTGATAAGTATGCTATAAATATTTATTTCCTTTCAGTTTGAACGTGCATGAGTACATCCTTTTATTTAAAACTTTCTGTAGATACCAGCTTCTTTGTACTAGTTTAAGTGGTTGCAGAATTGTTGCCTCAATTGCTCAATGATACTTGAGAAGTATTTCAAGGCCTTTTATCATTATTCTTTCCTATGGTTCACATGTCCAGACTCTGAACTAGATTACTAGCTTCTCACACAAGCTTGAAAAAACCTTCAAGAGTATGGTGTACTTTATCAAAGTTTAGAAGCCAGTCTCATAAAGCACAGGAAATATAATTGTTGACATTTAGTGTGGTGTTTTGTGGGCAAGAAATCAAGATGGTATGGATATTTTTATATGGACAAAACAATTGCTAATAATTATTAGATTAATTTTTATTTTTGGGCTGAAGTGCTTAAGTCACAAATTTACAGAAGTTACTAATGCAAAACCGTTTTCAGTATTTAACTCAAGAGACTAAAAACTTTAGCCCTTTTCATGTTTGCTTGTAGATTAAAACTGCAATAGTCTTATGTATTAAGTTACTCCACTGTGCTAAAAGGGTGTCAAATATTGAAAGAATACAAAAATTAGGGGACACCTTTTATCTGTTTGTCTCCAATTAATATTCATGTTGAAGCTTGTGTGTTTATTATTGGGAACCAGCATCTTATTTTTCAAATTTCAATTCACTTTTAGTTAATGATAATTATTTTTGCTTGCAGTACACATTTTCTAGGTTGCAGTAAGGATAAATGGAGTAATTATTATGTGAATTCAACTATGTTATGCATTTATGTAGCATACAAAAGTTAAAATCTTGGCACGTTTTGGGGACAGAGAGAGTATTAGATATTTCTTTCTGCATAAGTTCGATAATGATTTGAGATATGTTTTGTATGTATAACATTGTATCAGACTATCAGTCAATACATATAATTAATTTTCCAAAAGGAAATAAACATTAATTAGAATATACTCCCTCCGTCCATTTTTAATGTTTCTAGTTTGACCGGACACGCATATTAATGAATGATAAAAATTTCATTGACTTTCCACTTATACCCCTAATAAATACCAGTTATTGTGGGCTCCAGCCACCAATAATCACGACCCCCCCCTTTCTTCTCCGGTTCTCCCTACAACTAATTGCTGTCGACTCCAGCACCACTGCAGTCCACAAATGACCGACTTGGCTCCAGTTGCTACCATCCTCTCATTGAAGCAAACCTGGAAAATGATGAATATCTTCTTCATATTCTTGTTGAAGACAACATAGAGGCGGTGGAGTAGATATGAAGTTTTGACGGTGGCGAAAGAACAGATCTAGGGTGCTGCTAGCAGAGATGCATCATTTGATTATGGATTCGTTCAATTCAAATCGAAAACGAGCAATTGAAAATTGATTACCATCAATTGTCATTCCAGGGCTAGATTTGTTCAAATTATCATGGATTATACCCACCCATAGAGAAGATGATGATGGAGGATGAGCAGATCTACAAAATCGACAAAGGTGATGAAAAGATCTGAGCATTTGCAGTGCGAAAATGAAGCATATAATGACTGTTAGAAGAAAAGAAAGAAGAAGAAGAAGAATGAAAGAAGAAGAGGAAAAAAGAAAGGAAAACATGGGTCGGCAAAAAAAGAGAAGACGGAAGGGGGGAGCTGGGAAGAAGATAAGAGAGGAAGATGATGGAAACGAGGAGATCGAGAATAAAAGAGAGAAGGAGAAAAAGAAAAGAGAAAATATGAAGTGAGGATAAGGGTACTTGAGTCATTTTAGTAAAGAAAAGTTACCAAAAAAGGAAATAGAAACTTTATTTGTGGACGGACCGAAAAGGAAAGTAGAAACATTAAAAATGGACGGAGGGAGTAATTATAATCAATGTACATTTTGGAACTAGAGGGATTGTCATGTACTCCGTCTATCTCATATCTTACTTCCATGTTTGACTTGACACAGGTTTTAATGTAAGATGTAAAAATGTCTGGCTTTCCTAATTTGTCCTTAAGCACATCATCCCCTACAATACTTCTCCTGCTTCACCATCATTCCCATCCCTTCTCAAGAAGTCCCCAAACCTTGCCTTTCTTTTCCTTCTTCACAATCGGACGGTGAAGATCAACAAGATCGAGTAAAAATGTCTGGCTTTCCTAATTTATCCTTAAGCACATCATCCCCTACAACACTTCTCCTGCTTCACTCTTCATTCCAATCCCTTCTCAAGAACTTCTCAAGAAGTCCCCAGACCCTGCCTTTCTATTCCTTTTTCACAATCAGACGGTGAAGATCAACAAGATCGATCAAGATCTGTTTCTCAACAACGTATTCATCACTGACCCAGATCTGTTCCCTGGACTCAGATCTGCTCACGTAGTCGCCGGATTCTTCTCACCAGTTGAGCAGTTTCACGGGGCTGACCTAGTGGAATTTTTTAAAATATATCTAATATAGAGATGTTATCACATGAAATGGCTCTATGCTGGGGAACTGATTATCCATCTGTAGATTCCTATCTAATGCTTAACTAATATGCAATATATCTACTAATTTGAATATATGGGGTGAGGGCAAAATTGTCATCCTCACATTTTTTTTCCAAAAAAGAAAGTGGAAGATATGGGACCGCCCAAAAAGGAAAACTAGAAGAGCAATATGGGGTGGAGGGAGTGATTGCAAACCTAGTACTCCCATGTCAGCATGTCCCATAAAAAGTTCCACATTTTTTCCCCAGTATTAATAAAAAAAATGGATCCCCTTTACTTTTGATAAAAGATTTGTGTGGTTCAAATTATATATCTCATGTACGTACATTTTAACCACAATTTTGCCTTTGGAAATAATTGTGCCCAGTCAAAAGTGGAATCTTATTCCTAGACAGAGGGATTATAAATATACTCCGTATTTTACAAATAAACTAAAAGCATAGTTATTAATGGTGATATCTAATAGGTTAACCTTACTAAAATTTAGAAGATGTACCTTGTATAGAAAGGAACTTTTGTGGCACCGGTGGAGTATTTTCTTTTCCTAATCTAACTTCAATACTTTTTACCTTTTGTAGCTTCTAATATCTGGTGCAGTTGATGGTATTGATGTTGAAAATCTTCGAGCTCACACCAATTATACTGGTGGTTATCATAAGGTAACGTTTATGATGTGGAAACTAGTTTTTTTGATTATTTCTTTCTCTCCTCCTTAATTTATTTAGATTAGTTTGACATAGCTACTTAATCATCTTGTTGGCATTTCAGTTTTTTTTCACTTTTGATAAATTATGGATGTTTTGTTAAATTTAGCGGCAAGGTTCAAATGACACGGGGTTTCCATGTCGTGCTATGACATCGGCTCCAATTGGGGCGCCTCTGGTGTCCGGTTTGTAAAATTGATGGTTTTTACCCCCTAACCCCCGGTAAACCCCCCAACCCGTTTTGACTTGAACCCCACTCCCTTTAGTTGCACCCCCCAAATTTAGTTGACTTTGGGGAAAAAATATTTGACCCAAAGTCAACTAATTTTTTTTGGGTGCATTTGGGAGGGGGGTTACTGGGGGGGGGGGGGGGGGNATTTTATGAACTCGGCACCTTAGGTTCCCCAATTGGAGCCGGTGTCATAGCATGACATGAAATTGATGAAAACCCCATGTCATTTGAACCTTGTGGTAAAATTAGTTGTTTATACTTTATAGAATGTTTTCATATATACTTCTGTTCTAATCTGGCATTTTCAATTCTTCCTTAGCTAACTATCACTTGTGTAACAGGATCACTACGTAATTGAGATGTTCTGGGAGGTGGTTAAAAACTTTTCATTGGAAAACCAGCGAAATTTTTTGAAGTGAGTCTCTATTTCCATCATTTACCCGGCAGCTTGTTTTGATCACAATAGTGCTATAATTACTCTCTAGAGGTCAATCATTTTCTGTTTCTTGTATCTTCGTGCTTCGTGTATAATATACTGCTTGCCTTGATTACTCGGAGATTTCTACTCCATCTAGTCCTAATTATTAGTTGTTTTTAGTTTTTTTTGGATTTTTCAGAAATATTACAATATTCCAAATTTACTTCATTTATAAATGCCAAATAATTGAATTAATTTAAAAACTAAATGTGGGTACAATGTTTTTCAGGAGAAAACAATAGTAAAAATATTAAATGTTTCATAGAAAATAACACCTTATAAAAAGGTTTTAGTCCTTTCTAAAAGGGTCCTTATAATATCAACTAGTTGACATTTAAAACTGTCCCCTAAGCTAAAATGACTACCTCACTACGTAGAAAATTTGGTCTACTCTCCCCAAAAGGATCCTAATACTTGAGATTCAACTAAACTTGTATATTAGATTCAGTCTTGATCTATCAATTACCAAACATGGGACTGCACTCTCTTTGGCCATTCAATCCTTTCCGGACTTCCAGTTTCACACACCAAACAGGTCTTTATAACATACTCAAATACTCTATGTCCCAAAATAAAGTCCATCTTTGGAGAGTCAACTTCAATTTAACTATAATTCTTATGATGTTTTGTAACAGTGAAATACTTAAAAAGAGAACCATATAACTTTAGAAAGCAGTTGCTTTCTTGAACTTTGTCTTTTCAATTTCTTTTTAGTTTAAGAGGAGAGATGAATATTAATTTAGTTTTGCTTGCATCAATTAAAAAATGAAAATGTGGTATGCTCAGCAGTCAATCGCCGAAATATGGGCTAAATCCACTCAAATATTTAACCGCTATACTCTCCGCCAAATGTTACGCAAATTAACAATGTAACATTTTACAGCATCTAGTCGAATCTAACTTCTATGATTTGTTGGATAAAGTATGATTGCTAGTGAAAGCTGATGATATGAAGTAATATAGGTGACAGGGATAACTAGAGATTGCTAGAATTAAAATATGCTTATTTGGGTTACTTTTGAATTGTGATGATCGGGTTCGGGTAACTCTTAGCCTGGCTGATGCATATGCATTGTTTCCTATTTGTCTCGTAGCATGTAATTACTTCGCACGGTAGATTGTTGCTACTGTTTGTGTGGCTTATAGGTAGTGCACCAGCTGGTGGATGCTGTAAACCGGGACCTTGCTCGCATTCCCATATAGGCAAGCCAGGGTTACTGATAGGGAATGACTTAGAGGGTCATAACTCATAAGTGGAATGTGTAGTCTTAGTGAACAAGGAAGTAGGCCCTCGCCTGCTCTGGTTTTGGATCCCACTATATATATAAATAGATATAAAAAGGTGATAGAGGGTGTCGTGCATTCATGTCACAGAATTTCTCTTGTTGTTTATGAGGCCTATGCTACCTTCACCATAGGATTGCCTGTATTGTTCTTTCTGAGTTCTTTACATACGAGTATTATTTGCACGACAGCACTCTTGTAATGAAAAAGTAAATTATATATTCTCCGCATTTTTTGGTGTCAGTTTTGTGATCGTTGATGTTGTCTTCATTACATTTCCAATTTCAGATTTGTAACAGGGTGCTCTCGGGGACCATTGCTTGGATTTAATCACTTGGAACCTAAATTCTGCATACAAAGGTATAGCTGCATTCATAATCTTTATTCGATTCATTTTTGTATGACACCAGACAGGTTCCCTTTTAAGGTTTCATTTTCTTTAGCCATCTATTTTTTGTATAGAGCTGCAGGGATCACAACAGACGAAGCTATTGATCGTTTGCCAACGTCAGCCACTTGCATGAACCTCTTAAAGCTTCCTCCATATAGAAGGTTTGTCACTTCTTCGTCACCAACTTTCTCTTGAATCAAAACCTTGAGGTCATGTCAATGTTGTAGAAAGTGTTAGGCCACAAACTGGGGTCAAAAACCTTGGATGGGATTAATCGGGACTAGGCATTGTTGGTAGGTGTATTTGGATGGAGGGCTTTGGGTGAAGGCTTCTGAGGGGGTTCGTCTCTACCTTGATATGCATATTTGACTTTTTTTATACTGTATATAAAACAAATTTAAGCTTAACCTAATCAATGTGTTCAATCATTTTTAGAGACTCCTCTGTCCCTATTTAAACTTCACCGTTCACACATTTATTCATCTCTCCCAAAAGAATCTCCCATTTTCATTTAAGGAAAGAAATGTGGCTCAAACGATTTATCTTTAAACAAATGGGCAACCACACTTTTAACTTTTGAGCACTTTTGTTAAACCGTGTGCCTGGTCAAACTTGGCACTAAAACAGGGACAGTACATTAAATTTACAAAAATAATTATGTTTTTTCACCCCTAAGGTGGATCCAAATCTTTTCCCGATCCCAATTTTCCTTCTCACATGCAATATTAGGGTTACACTTGGGGTTAATTGAGCAATGCTCGTATGTTTATCAAGAATATAAGGCAATTCCACTTTCTCTCCAAAATCCTCCATCCAAGCAGACCCCAAAGTGAATTATTAGGCAGCCCCTAAAAGAAAACAAGTATTTAGACTCCCAAGGAGGGCCTAAGTGCCTAACACATATAGGCTGATTTATGTGTGTGTTTTTCAGCAAAGAACAAATGGAGGAAAAATTGCTTTATGCTATAAGTGCAGAAGCTGGTTTTGACTTGAGCTGATCGAGTTTTTAGCATCGCTCTTTTTATGTCAAGAACCCCTTTTACATGGAAGGTCACAAGTGATTCTCGGGCAATCGGCTTTCTCCCCCCCCCCCTGCCCCAACTGCCCACCGTGTTGTAAATGGCTGCTTGAAAGCCTTTGGGACTCCCCATGCCCGCAAGTACATGTAAATAAAAGTGGGTCGCCTGCTTAAGCAAGCCACTTTCTGGATGGGAGTGTAACATATATGGTTTCATTTTTTTCAAATAGTCAACACTGCCCAAAAATGGTCGCAAATATCATATTCGATTCATGTTGTCAGGTGATTTACTGCTTAGTTAATCAACAGATCATGTGATACTGAATGATATTGCTCATCTAGCTGTTGTCTTATAGAGTATTGAAAAAAAGAAACTTCCACCTTTTTTTAGAAGCAATTTTTGTTTTTGTTTTTCAGAAAACAATAGTGGAGGAAGCACATTTTCAAAACTATACCTGAAATATATTACAGTATATATATACTCAATAAAAATGGAGTGGTGGGGAGGGTTAAATATATGCCAAGCAGCAACTAAAAATAAGGTTTATAACACTAAATCATCCACCCTACCCCATTTATCCTTTCCAGTAACATAGGATTTAACCGCACATTCACAATATTGAGAAGCTCTTGAAAGACAGAACACTTACAAGAAAATATACTCTTTAGTTTCCATCTCCTTTTCACAAATACACATATAGGATATGACCCATATGAGAGAATCTACAAATTCTGTATGTGGTTTGGATCCTGGCTTTTCATACCAACCACATGATGAATTAATGGTTGGTAATAGGTTCATTTTAAAAACAAATTTTTAAATACTCTATTAAATTTTTATAATATACTACGTTTGACTTTATAAAAATAAAGATATTAATGGTTAACTCATTCAGAAGTTGTGAGAAGTCAAATGAGAAAAACAAAGTGGATTGAGGGAGTATTAGGTAAGCATCAAATTGTGATTTTAGTGTCATTTCTTCTCGAACTTTTCATAAAGTGCATATTTTTTTCGTAAACTTTCATAAGTGCACCGTAGCACTGGTCTCTATACTTTTATAATAAATGGCGCATGTAGTGGCGGATCTAAAAAAAAGAGGGATCGAGGGCGAGAGTATTGTGGGGCCTGGGGACATAATACTATTAACTACATTGTGTCAAAAAATCAAGTCAACCAAAAGCTCAAGCTTGTAGTTATGGCCTAAACTGGAAAAGTTATTTATAATCAAACATGCACCTCACGTGCAGGCATAGTTTTATTCGAGCGTTGCACGTGATACTTTAAATTTTTTTAAACAAAATTGGGTGGCGCTGAATTTTCTAACCTGTGACCTTCTAGTCAACAATGCTCCGATGTCATTTCAGAGAATCAACTCAACCAAAAGCTCAAACTTGTGGATGTGGTGCAGAAAAGATTATTTATATTCTAGCACATTCCTTCAAACTAGTTCTATTGCCAATGCAAAAACATTTATTTATAATCTTGTATCATGGGATTGATACTTTACACTATTACATGGGGGCAGTTCGTAGGACTAAAACATGTAGTATTAAGTGTATAATCACAATATAATACGCAATATCCTTCTCTGTATTCAGGTAAATTATTGAATTGTCCAGCAGTTTTTTCAAAGCACTTTGGGTAACACTCGCAAAACGTTGTTGTGCATACATCTGAAGGCGATCCATGCAACATCACAAATTGCATAGCCAAAACGTTTACCATTACAATCACAATAACTTGTAAATGAGTGAATTGATGTCTTGGCCTATATTCACAATGAAAAAAGTTAACAAATAAAATCCTTTTAATAGAGTTAAATGTGATATTAGCACCCCAACATGCGGTCATAAACGTTATTCTATCCATCCCAATTTAAATCTTTTATTTTAGTTTACGGTGTTTGACTGAAGTTAGTTTCAATATTATTTATTTTAGAATCAGAGTGAAATTATAAAAATAAAATTTATATAGTAACAAACTACATCAAGAACTCTACGAGATAAGAAGTAACACGAATATATTATTTTATTGTATAGGTTACAAAAATTGAGAAAAAAATGAATGAAGTTTGAACCTACAAGTAGTAAACAGAGAACTCATATTTAAGGAGGAAGTAATGTATATTACTTGTTGAGTTATGGGATATAGGTGATATAATTAAAAAACGGTAAGTCTAAAATGACACCAGTGCTACTGCTGTCATTTGCTTACACCAGTTCGTTTGGGGTACCTACGGTGCTCAGTTTGTAAAAACGACAGTTCCTACTCCCGTAACCCTCCCCCCTAAACCCCCCACCCCAGCCCCCCTCCCTACCCTGCCAGTACACTGCCAAGCAGTGTACTCCCAGAGTAGGGAGGGGGGCGGGAGGGGGGTTGGGGTGGGGGGGCAAAGGTGGGGTTGGGGTGGGGGGTTTAGGGGGAGGGTTAGGGGGGTAGGAACCGTTGTTTTTACAAACGGAGTACCGTAGGTACCCCAAACGAACTGGTGTATAAGTAACTGTTGTCATTTTAGACGCTGCATTAAAAAAATACATGAAAGTGATTATGCATACCCAATTACCCATTAGGGCGGGTTCATCATTGAATTTAAAAAAACACTCCCATTAAATATTTAAATCGTGGTCAATTCATTACACTTGAAGAAAATCATTTCACATAAAATATTGCCACTCTACTTTTAAAAATAATTTAATGCCTTTCAAAAAAAATTAATTAACACTTAAAATGTATCAATGTGGTGGATGTGTATCTAAATCTTAAGAAGATATGTTATTAATTTGTTAAATAGTACTCCCTCCGTCCAGAAATAAACTTTACATTACGCGTTACGATGTTTGACTGAAGTTATTTTCAAATCATTTTATATGAAAAATGGTGTAGAATTGAAAACTAAAAATTACTTATTAAAAAACTATATCAAAAGATCTACAAAACTAGAGGTGACATGACTATATTATTTTATCAAATGAGTAACGAAAATAGGCCAACAAAGTGAATAAAGTTTGACTTTGTGAATAATAAACGTAAAGTTTATTTGGTAGAATGATATACTTGGTACAATGTATAACCTGAGCTTGTAGAATGATGACATGGTAGAAGATAGTGGTTATACTTTGTGAAAGTGAAAGTATTTTGATAATCAAAGCCACAATATTATTTCTTAATTACAATAATCTAATTCTTATTATATACTCCACATATATAAGAATCTTATATAGGCATGGAAAACATAACGCGCGATTCATTTTCAATAACTACTACTAGAATTAAATAAGATGTAACATTTTTCTTTCAGAAAACGTATAGAATTGTAATATTTGCTGCTTTAGTTAATCAAAAAATCATATGATACTAGATGATGTTTCTCATCTGGCTATTGTCTTTTGCGTAGAAGCAGATATATTCTCTATATTTAATAAAAAGATACTTCCACCTTTTATTAGAAGAAGCGATTTTTTTCCACAAAACAACAGTGATTAGGAAGCACATCTTACAAACTATACCTAAAATAAACTACATTAGGGGCCTTTTTTGTGCTGGTGTTTATTGACTTATTGTTGATATTCTTTCGTGAAAGTAAAATGACTTAAATAATAGACAAATCATTTGTAAATATTCATAAATGGTGAGAGACAGTTTTGTAAATAATCTTGTCAATATGAGGAAACAAAAAAACTAGCTTAAACATAAGTAGCTAAGACATACTTATTTTTTCTAGCTTATAAGTAGTTTATAAGTCACCTTATAAGCTTACAGAAACATGTCATCAGTCGACTTATAAGTTAAAAAGTGCTTATAAGCAGTGTTGACCAGCTTATAAACACAGAGAAACACCGACGCACTAAAAAAATGCAGTGCCGGGGGAAGGGTTGTTGGTTAGGACATTCAGAGGGTGTGAAGAGAAATATAAGATACATTGATAAGTCCGTGTTGTATGAACTTATCTTCTCCATATAAAGAGTCTGTTCTTTAGGGCTTAAACTCTTAACTTCTAGTTTCTTCCATATCCTTCCAGTTTCTTCAAGTTTCTTCTAGTTCCTTCCAATTTCTTTCGGTTCTTCCAATTCCTTCTAGTTTCTTCCAGTTATTCTCGTTTTCTTCAAACTCTTTCTACTCCCCAACTAATTACTCTAAAAACGATATATTTTTAATGTGATTATTATTATTATTATTATTATTATTACAAGTGTTATGTTCATAACTATAGTTTATAAATTATTTTTTTCATTTCAGTATGTTTACGATTCATGCTCATTATTTTTTCTTTAACTTTTTAATATGAATAAGACAATTTTTTTATATTAATCTACATGATAAATAGAACAACATCATTATTTTAAACTATATTAAAAAATTATGGATATTATATAGAATGTTTTATTAATCTAACTTTATATAAGACCCCTCACTTTTCCCTTTATTACTCCAATCTTTCTCTTTTTTTCTAATTTTAATAAAAAAATTGAAAGTCAAAATAGTTTAGAAAAAAAGAACAAAATAGGAGTAAAACATTAAAAATGTAAAAAAAAGGTCTATGTCTTTATTCAAAAAATAGGAGTTACAATAAAAATAAAATGTCAATCATGAAAGAAAAAAATATGTTTGATTACATTATGTGACATGTCTGATATTTAAAAGAAAATCTTGTAATATATAAAGTATAATTACAAATATATTATTTATATTAAATACTCCATAAATAAATTGAGGTGCAAAGTAACCACAACAATTTTTTAAAATTTAACATTTTGATATTTATGCTAACTTTTTTTTTATTTTTTTTGCAAAAGTAGCTTTTTTGTGTATGAAAAATAACAATACTTTTTTTTTTATCTTAAAGGCATTCATTAAGATAACGTGATGATGATGATGATCATAATAATAATAATAATAATACTAATAATAATAATAATAATAATATTTTATAACAACAAAAACTAGAATGAGAATAACATAAAAATATTCTAAAATAAAATTTTTAAAGCTTTTTTAGGTTTTCCAATTTTTTGAAGTTTTTCCAGTTTCTTCCCGTTTCTTCCAGTTCTTTAAGTTTCTTCCAGTTTTTTCTAGTTTTTCTAGTTTTTTTTAGTTTCTTCCGGTTTCTTCAAGTTTCTTCCAGTTCTTTCCAATTTCTTCCAACATCTAACTCTTTTTTTCCATTTCTAAAGAACATGCTCTTAATGTTTTATTTGTCCAATTTTAGATCAACCAAGACAATTTTTCATTGGTTTTATAAATGTTTTTTTATAATTATTAAAGTGCACAAAAATCATGTCTTGGTACAAAACAAATGAAGATTGAGTAAAAAAGTGGTGTAAAACTGGCAAAAGTAAATATTTACGTGCTATGGAGAAAATTAGAAACTAGCAAAAGTAAATC